GCTGGTTACACCCCTGCACTGGCACAGATAGTCCTAACTTCAGGTTTACTACCATTGTTACATCAGGGGTGAGGAAAGCAACACACAGAAACAAAAAATGATCTAACATTTTATAAAAACAATGAAGTACCTCACAGATCTTACTGTTGAACTCCTGCTAAGAGGGTGAAAACTGCAGTCACCAAAGAACTTTTGGTATATTTCCAGCAGGCACCTCCTGCTGTGTGCTGTGAAATTACATTCTTGTGTGCCTGCTAAAACTAGAAGATGCTTTTGGGAGCCCACTACATTTATACTGGCAAAAGATGCAGCCAGTGCAAATAGAAATGAATGAAATGATCTTGAGTAGCACCAATTCCAGAGATGCCTTCTCTGATAATGGAGATATTGGAGGATCACAGAAAACAAGTATGAAGGTATTAAAGAAACGTAAACAAGCCAAGGCAGAAGGATCTTGTGTTTAAACAAGAGCACCATAAGTTCAAGTCAAGATCCCAAACCATATAAGGATGCTCTCAGCTAGGTCCATACGTTATTGGATTGGGCTGATGGCAAAACACTCTACAGCTTTCTCCTCTCCAGAAGCACTCTGCATACATGTATGGGGCAGATGACAAGATTTCCCCTCTCATCCCATGGCCATTTATCCTCCAGCCCAAAAGAAAGGACTGCTGCCTCACAAGAAACATTCAGTTAGGATACTCTCTCTTTAAAAGCCTGTTTCTCAATACAACCATTTCAGCAATTATTTCTAAAATTGTCCTACATCCTATTACTGAATACCTTAACTGTCCACACTATAATTTACCTGTGTTTCTTCCTGAATCACAGATGGTACAAACACTTCTTTACAGTATACTAAGATAACATAATGCTGAATATCAGATCTCCAGAAATGTTTGTTGTTAACTAAAACTGACCAAAAGCCAAAGTTAAGCATTCAAGTGCAAACCACACATTACATCTGAACAGAATTCACTTTCTGTAAATATTACCTGAAGCTATCATCCCATTATATTTCGAATTCTTTGGATTTAAGTCAGAAGGCAGCACCTGGTAAAGCCAGACTTCTACAAAGATGCCTGTACAAAATAGTTCTCATGGGCTCAGCAGCATTTTGGAAATCGTGTACGGAATTACGTGGTCATGATTACATATATGTATGCAATCATGTATAACACACATGCAAATCATGTAATGTAATGAAATCGTGTTATCAGTGAGAAGTAATACCACACCAACAGAAAGGGAAATAAAAAAACACCGAAGACAAGAGAACAGCTCCAACGTTCAACACCAACAGGGATGTAAGCTCTGGAAGCAGAGTGCAGCACCACCTTGTTGAGGCGTTCATCGTCTGTCTCAATGCCAACGCTGTCGAGGATCTTTTTCAAGTCCTTGGACGTGGGGGATTCATTGCCACCAAGGACTGCGAGAAGGTATGCTGCAACGTAACGCATCCTGGAAAACAAAACCGAAATCTTTAACTCCACAGATCTAGCTTGATAACCGGTATCTTGTTTTCCCTTTGCTCTACTCATTAAATAAAACCTGCGGTGGGAGAGGCCGCATTCCCGCCTCCCGCCATTGCAGGCCCAGCACGGAGGCCGCGAACCCCGCCGTGCCCAGCAGGGCTCGCTATCCCGATAGCCCGCAGTCGGCGCGGCCCGACGTCTCCCGATGGGGAAATCGCTCCGCCTCGGCGCTGCGGTCCGGTCCCGTCCCGTCCCGTCCCTCTCCTCAGAGGCCCAGGCCGGCGGAGCACATGGCCGCCATTACCCCCCCTCCCTGTCCCGAGCGGTCCCACCCAAGCCCCGCTGAGGGCCGCGGGCGGGGAGCGCTCATTCCCGCGGAAGGGGCGGCGGTACGGGGCACGGAGCCGCCCTGCGCTCACTTGGCGAGGCGGCGGCGGCGTGAGACAGGCCCGGAACGTGCGATCGCTGCGGCAGCCCGGCGGCGAAAAGGAAAGGGCGGGGCTTCGGCAACGCCTTCTTCCCGTCACCTCTTAACAACGCGCGCTGCCATTGCACCGGGCCAGGCGAGAGGGCCAACCAATGGGGAGCTTCGGGATGCTCGCAACCGCCGCTCTGTACAGTAAAGGGCCGCGCATGCGCGGTCGGGGTGTGGAGATGGCAGTGGTTGTTTCCCTTTTGTGTAACCGAAAAGCTGCTCCCTAAGGGTTGTATCCCAGAACGCGCTGATTGTTCCCCCCGAGCGAGACTTGCTCTGAAGAAACAGCCTCTCCTCAAGGGCACGGCTGGTAGAGCACCGCCAGGCTTTGCACCTGGGGAAGCGCCTCGGAGCACCGCTCCGCCAGCAACACGGGGAGCGCAACAAACACCGCAGGGTCCGCTGTCCCGGTCCCCGCGAGCCCGGTCCCGCTGCGCAGGGCAGCACGCCTCGCTTTCCCGCACCCGCCGCCGCGGCACCTCCCCCTCCTCGGCCCGCCCCGGGACCGACTTGACAGGAAGCGGTGGGGCCGAGCCGCAGCGGCCGGGCGCGGGGACGCAGGGTGTGTGTGTGCGGGGCCAGGCGGGTGCGCTCTGCGGGGCGCTGGGCGGTGTGGCCGGGAGCGGGGGCTTGGGGGCTGCTCGGAGCTTTCCGCAGCTTCACAAAGTGTCTGCCACGTGTGTCTCGGAGAGGTTCCGCAACTTCCGGGAGCTACGTGTGATGGCTCTTTTTGGGGGTGCTACTTGCCGTGGCTCATTGCCCTGTTTGCTGGTGAGAGTGGCAGCCCTATGCAGTAGCCTTGCCTTATATATCCTCTCCCCAGCCACGCTACATTTGCTCCACTGCCCTTTGCCTGTTTCCATCTCCGTGTTCCTGCCACTGTTACCCGATTTCACAACTGGGTTGGATGAGGGTTGGTGGCAGCCTGCTGGCCTGGGAGTGCTGCTGCTCCTGTGTCTGCATTCCCTGCCCCGCTTTCTCTGCTTGCATAAACCTTCTCACTGAGGCACTTTGTGTTCTGCACAAAGCACAGGCACTTACATTTATACCTTTTAAAGTTCCTATCAATATTTGTTATGATGGATAATTGGAATAACAGATTTACTCTGTTCCCTGAATTTGCATTCATTTTGCCTGATTGCCTGATATCAGCTGGGAGAACTTAGATCTGTAGGAACGAGAAGCTTCTTTACTATGAGTGGTGAGGTGCTGGAACAGGCTGCTCAGAGAGGCTGTGGATGCCCTGTCCCTGGAGATGTTTAAGGCCAGATTGGATGGGACCCTGGGCAGCCTGGTCTAGTATTAAATGGGGAGGTTGGTGCCCCTGCCTGTGGCATGGGGGTTGGAGATTCATGATCCTTGAAATCTCTTCCAATCCTGGCCATTCTGTGATTCTACAGAGCTCTGCATTTCTGTCCCTTCTGCCCACAAAGCTTTTTGTCAGTACACCTCCTGCCTTCCTGTTGTGGCTCTTAAGAGTTTCCAGCCACCTCAGGCTGGGGCAGGAGGCCTTCAGCGTGCATATCTGTTCTCTTTCAGAGCCATCCTTTCTCCTCTTCCCCATCCCCGCAGCCTGCCATTGCCTGCCCACCTGGCAAGTCAGAGCATGTCTGGCCCCCCTGGACAAGATGCAGAAGATGGCAGAGCTACTGAAGCTCCTGGAAGAGCATGAGGAGGGGGCTCCGGGGGCTCCTTTGCTCACTGACTCCTGCTTGGCAGACAACAGGCTCACTCTGGATGTTTATCCGGATGGCTGCTGTCGGCTGCTCCAGCTGTTTGAGAGGCAACTGGCAGAGGTGGTGCAGGTGGAGCTCCTCCGGCTCAGCAGTAACGATCACTTGCTTGATGCTGCACTGATCGTCCTTCCATATCTGAAGCGCCTGAAGTCCCTGGTGCTCAAAGGTGAGTTCCCAGACCTATCGCCTAGCTTCATGTTTGTGTTTTTCCATCTTTCCACATCTGTAGAGCAAGCTGCCTTAGAGTTTTTTTGCTCCAGTGCCCCAAGCCAGGGCATCGACTCTTAGTCTTGCTCATAGCTGCACGCAGATTTCAACAAGAATCAGCTTCTAGACATTTATATCCTTCCTTTGCCTCTACAGCTGCATCGGGACCAGTTTTTGGAGCCTGGTTAGGTTGATGCTGCAACACTTTCTTTATCCATCCTCTAGAAGAAGAGCAATTTTTGCACAGCTGTGTAAAAAGAGGGAAATTGAAAATGCTTTTAACTGTTCAGCTCCTTTTTCATTTTTGTTAGTATAATGAGCTGCCCTTGCTGGGGTTTGTTCTAAATCAGTCCTAACATAATCCTTGCATTGTGTCAGTGAGCATAGGTTTAGCACACACCAGAGGAGGCTGTTCAGTATTTTATAAAAGTATGTCTCAGAGTGTGTGTTGTTTGACATTCTGTAATGACACGTCTGAATTATAACATTTCTTGATTTCCTTATCTCTTAATTGTAGGAGGGTCTCAATATGAACAATATAATTTTAGTATTAGATTGAGTCATTTGATCTTTGGGAGGTGAAATTTTAAAATCACAAGAGAGAAAAGAATTCAGGGTTCCAGCTGAAAGCTCTCACAACTGAGCTTCATTTCTACACCTACCACAGATCGCTTATAAAATCTCATACAGATCATTTCATCTGTCTTTTCTCCTGCAGTAAGGTGAGGTTAGTGGCAATGCCTTTTATGATACTTGTTTTGTACACATATTCTAAACATCCTGAAGTGCAATAAAATAGTTGGACTGGGTTTTGTTAGGTCCCACATACAATGTTTCTCTTAGATTATTTACATTCTTTGCCATTATGTAGCATAACAAAATTACCCACCCCTATATGCCATCACAAGTAAAGCAGTGGAAGGAAAATAGCAAAGAGCTGGAAGCTTGCTTTTGTGTACTTCTTTTTCCAAGGTGCAACCGCCTTGAGTGTCCAAACTGGGGCAGGACCTGTACCCTTCTCTCTTTGTGCTTTCATCTGGTCGACGCAATACTGAATGAGCTGTTGTGTGGGGTTTTTTTTGGTGTTTTTTTTTTTTTGCTACATTTTCACTGCTTTTCTCATCTGTCTAATAAGGGCAGGTCTCGTTCTTTGGGGCTGTTCATTCCCCAGCAATGTGGGCAGAGTCTGGAAGGTGTGTGAGGAAGGTCTCGTTCATAAAGTGTTGTGTGTTGCCCACTGTGTTGGCACCAGGGGTAGAACATTCAGGAGGCTTGCAAGAGTGTGTGCCACTACACAGAGTGATGGTATGTGTATGGAGTGGCCTGGGTCTTTCTGAACTTTGCCCCACATGTGTTAAGCAGGGTTCTACGGGTTCCCTGTAACATCTGTTGGTTTCCCAGCAGATCTTCACAGATCAGGAAATTTTCTGCAAGGTGCAGAAAACCTACAAAACTTTGTAATTAGTGCTGTACATTGTAATCAGAAACTCACCATTATCTGAGTCTCCATGTTATAGCTTCAGAAAGGAGTGTTACATGAAGTGATGAGGTACCCTTGTACTATATTGACTTCTCCCCCCACTTCCCTTTGCACCTAGGTGGCCATGTCAGAGATGAATTTGGTTCATGTCAGCACGGCTCCCTGACAAGCTTGCCACCAGGTATTGGGACCCTGAGATGTCTCACTCACTTGGATCTCAGCTTCAATAGTCTCTCCACCTTGCCCAGCTGCATCCCTTACCTCACCAGCCTCCGCATGCTCTTGGTGAGCCACAACAACTTGGTGGCTCTTCCTGAGAACTTCGGCTCACTGAGCAAGCTGACTTTCTTCTCTGCTATGAAAAATCAGTTGAAGCGCTTACCTCAGAGCATCGGGGAGCTGGCAGCACTGGAGGAACTGGACCTCTCAGAAAATGTGTTGGAACATCTCCCTGAAGAGGTTGGAAATCTGCACAGCTGCACAGAACTGGATCTCTCTGGGAATCGGCTATCAAGCATCCCAGATTGTTTAGGTACCTGTTCTCTTAGGTGATAAGAAAGAGAGTCTGCTGAGTTTTTGATACAGGCTAGGATCCCTGAGCCCTTTGCCTCTGTTCCCAGAATTGCTAGGACAAAGTGTCTGCTACACTAGAGCCAAAATGGGAGGGATATCCAGAAAAAACATGCTTGGTTAAGTCAGTCCCTGTGGGCATTAACAGGATGTCTATGGTCCATGCTTTCTGTTTCTGTGAATCAGAAAGGCTCCTAGGATTTTCATGCAACCTAAAGTAGTTGAGTCTTGCCTGACTGTTTTTTGGGAGCATCCAGCACTGGAAACAGAAGAGCTGGGGCTTAAGAGGAAGCAAAACATCTTGAAATCAGGCTCTGTGTTATGGAGCAATCCACTGAGCCAGGCTCTGATTTCCAGTGCCCAGCTTTCCCTAGCTTTACTGGCTCTCGACTCCTCTCTTTTTGCCCAGGAGGTGCCACTGATGCTGTAAAGCACAGAACAGAGGTGGCTGCATTGCCTCTCTGCTAGTTCAGCAGCCTCATTTGTTTTGGGAACTAAAGAAACATAGAGCTATTGTGCCTTTCCCTTATTGCATGTGTGTGAGAGGAATGGATATCCAGTGCCGAAAGGCAGGAGTGTGTGAGTGTGTGGAGAGAGCTGATGTGCAACGCAATTAACAGCACGGATGGGGAGTCATTGCCTGTTCTAACCTGCAGCCAATTTGAAGTCTCTGCGGCGGCTGCATCTTCACAGCAATCTTCTGGTGACAGTCCCTGCATCGCTCGCCAGCCTGCCCAATTTGTCCAGGCTTGATCTGCAGAACAACTTCCTCCGTGCTGTCCCCCCTGAGATACAGGCTGCGCCATTTGTGCACCTCCGAGGCAACCCCCTAGGAGAAACTGAGCTGTCCCTGCAGGCTGGTAATTGCAAGGCTTCTGCTTCTGTGGATTTTGCCCAGCTGTTCTCTTGCTCAGCCCAGCATGGCATGAATGGGTTTGAATTAAAGAAGAGAAGCAGGGGGCAATCAGATTAGTGTTTATTTGTGTGGTGTTATTATTAGGTTGTAGTGATTCAGGCGATTTGTTTTTATGAGCCTGAGCCTGTTCTGAAGGTCTCAGATGTCCCAGAAACTGGCTTGCTGGTCCTGCTCTTTGGAAAGATTTTCCAGTGGAAGTGAAAATTGGATTCATACGAAACAGATCAGAAGGGTATATTAAGGGAGAATACTGGTTCTTGGACTTGGTGCATGACCTTCAGGCCATGGTGGCTCACACTAGAAGCACAGGAACAATCAGAGATGATTCAACTGTGCAGTTACCTCCTGCTTTGCCCTTCTTCCCGGACTGCAGCCCTTTCTCTGAGACAAAGATGATTGTATAATCAATGGATATTGAAATGTATAATCAATGGATACTAAGATGCTATAATCACAAAAAGAACAAGAGAGAGTTAGGCAAAGTAGACTAAGATAATAAGAGAGAATAAATGGAAGGCTTACCTGTATGCTAGGCTCACCTACAAAAAACACCAGCAGAGGCAGTCTCCAGACAAGATCCTTCCCCACTGGTAGCCAGCTCTTAAATAGGTCTAGGAGCAGCACAGAGTGAATTGCCTTCACCTGTGCTCCTCTGACTCATGGATCGTCTCAGGTGATCAATCAGAGGTTCAGGCTGTGACTCAACAGTTCCCATACAATGATGACTGAGCAGAAATCTGAGCAGAGTTTCACAGTAGTGCTTACATTCACAACAAATGGCCATAGGTGATCAGTCATGGTCCTGAGAGCTGCGGGTCTGGTAGATTTTCTAACTCCTAAGTTTTACTGGGGGACAGAATCAGCATTTCCAGTGGGCCCTGGGACCCCTTGACTTCTTCATATCTTCCTGCTGCTTCTGCTTGATCTGAAGCCCACTACTGTGCGGGCAGGGTTCCTTTAGCAACTTCTGTCAGATTAGGATTAAGTCAAAACTGGAAGGTAAATTCAACCTTCCTTGTCTAACTTCATCTAAATAACCTCTGCCTCCTCTTCTTACTGAAACCTGGTTGCTGCAGATGAATCCAGTGCCACAGAGCTACCAAGACTGTTCCTTGCATCGGAAGAGGATAGGTATGCTTCTTTACTAAGAACTTATATTACAGTAGTGTAACAAGGCCCCGGACAAGATTATACATGGTAGACATTCTGTATGTGCACAGGCAGCTTACTGCCTCACTAGGCCAGTCATACACAAGGTGGGAGATTTCTCTGCTGACTTTTTGAAGGGTTGGAGTCATTGCAGTGTCACACATTCATGTATTTCTTCTGGAAGTTTCACAGTGACCTCTGAAGGTTGCGAAGTGTTCCTGGCCTGTGGCATCCGTTTCTACTTTCCACCAGAGGCTGCCTCTGACCCTCTGCGGATCTACTTCCGAACCTTGGCACCAGACCCTCAGTGGGTGAAGCTGAGACACCATGATGTCCTGCTGAGCAAAGTCCTGGAGTTGCAGCCTCATGGGGTCAAATTCCAGCAGGTGAGGGCAGACACAGGCTGCTGCTGAATAATCTGCCTGTGCAGTAGCTCAGCAGAGTCTTTTGGGAGAGTCTTTTGGGACTTTAGAGCCAGCTATCCCCCTCACTGCTATTTGTAAGTAGCTGTCAAAGAAGCTGCACTGCAAAGATTCAAAGAACGCAACCAACTTTCTTGGTACTGTGCTGTTCTGGCTCCTTTTCCTTCCCAAGTACTTCTACTTGAGCTGAGCTGTAACCTTCCTTGCTCACAACCCTCTTTCTCCATGATTTTTAGCATTTGCCCTTAATCTGCAAGGAAAATGGTTCATGTTGTTCCCCAAAAGTGTCATTTTCATTCTTGCTGGTGAATATTCACATCACCAGCTCTGTCATGGGTGACAACTCACTGGAAAGGTTACTTTGTCATTTCTGCCCACAGGCTGCTTTTCCTGCAGTCACAATACACAGCACATCAGATGTCTTGTCACCTCTCCCGAGGCTGCAAGACAGAGCAGATTCCCATCTCCTGCCCTACTCCCTTCCTGTGGGCCATGCTTTTCCTCCCTTTGTTTGCCCAAGATGCCACTGAGCAGAGCTAGGCTTGATTTGAGGCTTTATGTTGGTGTCTTACGGGACTGCTTTTGTGCCAGGAGGTAGAGATCTGGATGCCATATGCCTCTCCAGAAACTCTTCACGAGCGTGAGGTGGTTGTTCGGACCTTCAGTGGGCAGAGCTGGAGTGACCTGAGAACACGAGTGGAGAAGAGTAAGGTAAGCAGGCTGAAATGACTGGTGACACACATCTTTCCTGTCACTCTGTTTTTGCTCAGCCATGGGGGAGTCTGCTTGAAATATTTCATGAGCTGTGTTTTGACTGGCTGCTATGAAATGGAGTCGATTTCAGCTGTAGGATTCCTTTCTCGTGGAGGTGTGTCTGCTGGAGGTGATGACTTGCTGCTCTTTCCATCCTGATGCTCTTATCTGTTTCGGTGTTACTGCCTCTATTTTTCCTGCCATTAAAGTGTTCTGTGGTATGCCCATATGTTTTCTCTTCTTCCCTGTCCTCTGTTACAGAAGGACGTGGCTCGTTGTAGTGTTCTTCACTTCTCCTGGTTCCTTGTTGTGTCTCGACTTGTGCAAAATGAATGCAAAGTGTCAACAGAGGGGACATTGCTCTTTTCCAGTGTGGATCCAAACATCAAAGTGACCTTCCCTCCTGGAGTCACTGAAGAGACTCGCAGTGTCAAACTGCAGGTATGCATGCCTAAAAAAAGGAGCCCTGGTCAGCCCTTGGTGCAGCTGCTAACCTATGTCAAGCAGCAAAACACAAGGTGAAATGTCTGTTCTGGAGTAAGTAGTGTCTTGACACGGATGCCTCATGGGCTGACCCATCTCCTAGCACTTTCTGCCTTAGTTTTCCTGCCTGCAAAATGGGCTGTTCTTCAAGCTGCCCCCTGTGGGAAAGTGGGTTTCCTTGTGGTGCTCCTCCCTGCAGATCAGTGAAGATATCATGCAGACAAGTATCATTTGCTTCTTGTTCCATTACAAAATACACTGAGCCTGGCAGAACAGCTCAGCAAGAGAGGTTTGCAGAGATTATTTATGCAGATCTAACTCTAGAGCAAACCCACTAAAATTGGTGGTTGTTCTGTAAAGTTAGTGGATGCTGCTAAATGCTACTGTAATACATTGCCCTGTCCCAACTTGCCCAGGTGACACCAATGTTAAAGCGAAATTCAGATGAAGTTCACTATGCTTCCATTTCCCACTGTGTCCTGAGCCAAGAGCTGTATTTGCTTGCTGAGTGTTTGGGAGCATTGTGTGGGAAATGAGGGAATTTGGGTGTCTGATTGCTCCTCTCTCTGTGTTGCATTCTATGCACAGGTTCTGCCAGTCTCTGCAGAAGAGATAGCGGAACTCACAGCTGATGCAGGATGCAAAGCCAGTCCTCTGCTCTGCCTCTCCCAGGATTCCCTGGTAGATTTCCTCAGACCTGTGAGAATTCAGCTCCCGCTCCCACTTGGGGTTACAGGTCAGTTTATTCTCAAAATTGGAGAGCAGAAACACTGTGTGGAAAATGGCAAGCGGCAAGCTGGGCATTTTGTTTGACTCAATGTTAATAACCAATTAGCTTTGTCTGCAGAAGCAGCAAGGTACATTTGTGTGCTTGGTGCTGGTGCAGTGCTGAGAGCTGAAGGCAGCTGAAGCCCAGCAGGCCAGCGCTGGGCTTCACAGGACCAGCAATGCAAGCTAGGAGAACTGCTGTGGCAAATAGATTTCCCTGCTGAGTCACATGTATGTTCGGACTGCTGGGTTTGGTATGATGGTTTGGAGAGACATTTCTACAAAACAGGGAAATGCATTGTAAAAGGGCTTTGATTCCTGACTGGGAATAGCTTGAAGTTGATAATGAAGATGCTGCCTCCAGGGATCTACTTTCTATTCAACTTCCTGCTGATGGATCAGGTTCTGAGCTACTGCAATCTTTCAGTTATTATACAGTTATACGTAGAGCCACTCTGAGTACTACTATGAAGAGCCTCAAATCAACAGTAGATTTACCAGGGATTCCTCTGGTGATGTGCTGAATACTCTGCATCTTCTAATTCCCATTTTCCCTGGCATGTCTTGGCTTTCTCGTGAGGAAGTAAAAGATTTTTGGGTGTTGGCTTGGCCTTTGTTGTAAGACCACCTGGTATTTGTATGTCAGAAGTGCATCGGGATTGGAAAACCTCCAGTCCACAAGCTTAGAAAGAGATAAAATCTTAATAGCCCTAAGTATTGATGATGAGAATTGTCTAGTGAGTCTATATTGCTGGAGAATATTCTAGCATTCAGATTGCCTTTTCTTTTATTCTGTTCTTCTTTAGTTTAAGTTTTAGTTTAAGGCTTAACTGGACACTTTTAAAAAGTAAATCACCCAAAACTGTGGTTGGGTTTGAAAAGCTCTGAGTAAAGGTAGCAAGGCATATACATATACATATATACATATACATATATTCACCTCATGTTAAAGAACTCTGCTGTATGCAACATCTCTTGATCATTGTTGTCTTTAGGGTTGAACTTGGATTGGTCAAGGCTGCATCTTCTTTGTGGGGATGTGGAAGGCCAAACTTGGGATGACATCACCAATGAAGTGATGCTGGAACTCACTCATCTCTGTGCAGTATTTGAAGTCACCCACTTCTCCTGGTAAGTGCAGGTTTAATCCTGAGGAAATTATGGGATGTTTCTCTGTCTTGCTTTTCCCAAACCCTAACCAGGAGTTATGCCATTAGTTCTACCTATTTATCTTTCCCTTTGCAAGTCAGATCCAGCTCAGCACTTTGTCTCTATCCACCGTTTTTTACCTGCTGACCATAACCCCGATCTCTTTGCCTGTTGTGCATTTTCACTGGAGAAAAGCTACTGCTCCTTGGAATACTCTCAATCCTTCTTTTCTGGCAATGCAGAGAAGTCCAGATTTGCAAGCGTAGTGTCTTTAGAGCAAATGCACTCAATGTAGTGGTTCCCACTCTGAATCTACAATCCTTCAGCTGCAGGTTTTCAGACCACGCTACTCTCAGCTCCCAAGTTCTCCATTTCTTTCTCACCACCGTCAACCTTCTTGTCTTTAAATGTTTCTTCACTTAAATCTTCACTTTATCCTTCACCCTCAGTCTGAGTACTTATATGCTATGAGCCAGAATCAGAGGATAAGAAAGCTGCTGAGGCATGCTTCTCCTGTGGAGAAATGATCACTGAAGACCCAAACTGTTGGCAGTCTCATGAATATGACACCAACTTCTCTTCCTAGGCAGGATCCATCCTTTTTCTCAATTCTCTATCTGACAGGTACTGGCTGTGGTACACCACCAAGACCTACATTGGAGGCATTGCCAAGAAAGTTTATGAGCGGTTACGTATGTACCAGGTGAACTTCATTGCTCTGCAGAGGAAGAAGGATCCCGAGCAAGTCCTGCTACAGTGTCTCCCCAAGCACAAGGTCTGGTATGGGTTGCATTTCTCCTCAGCTCCTTGGGCCTCCTTTTGCAGGATGCAAGGGCAGTAATGTGCCAAATGGTCCTGGTCACTGCCCCAAGGTCATGGCTGAGGTG